GTTTTAGGTGAAGTGGCATAAAGCTCGGTGAGAAACGCGATATTTGCGGTATGAAGTAGTCGCGAAATATGTTTTTCACTGGTGTTTTTCTTATCACTAGGGCGGTGAAACTCCATTGAAGGGGTACAACTATTTATATATATGATGATAATAATGTAGTAGTATGCCATGGAGGCGTCAATAAAGGGCAAAGGTCTATAAATATATACCGCCAATGACCGGATATTAGACATCACTGAAGTACCTGAATTCATCCATCCTCTCATCAGCTTTAACCTCATCATCGCCCTCAGGAGGTAGCATAGTGACGTCGGCTTCCCTCATCATCTCGATAGTAGTGGTAACCGGTACGTCCACCTGTCCAGTTGGTGCTATCATCGACTACCTTCCTAATGCTACTACTACTTCCTCGCCTCTAGCTCTAGCCTCCTGTCTTTGCTTCCTAGTCTCCCGCTTGACCTTCTTCTTTTCCCGATATTGCCGTCCAACCTGTCATACCAAATTTCCTTCACATCTCGCCAGCATCACCCCTACGAGCTCTTGTCGTTTCCACTTGTTAGGTATATGTACATCCCCCTCCGGTATCTTCTCCACATTACCCGTCTTGTGACCTACACCATCCAAAGCACTAGAGAACCACGACGGTCTATGCGAATGGGAATTTCATTTCTGCATATCATTGAGCGAAGCGATCCGACCATGTGTAAATGTAAATAGAGCTCAAATGAGGACACTTTTGAGTCAATTCTCCTATGGAGCCAATGATGATGTCGTTGTGGATGAAGATCCGAGCGGTTGGTTCACTCGCGTATGCTTCCAGGAGTACGTTAACAAACTGCTCATTTATTGTAGCCTCTGTGATTTTGGCAATGGCTATGAACTGAGTGTCTTTAGATAAGACATCCCTAGTATGAGCTTTCAAGGCCTACAAGAGATCTCAGCAAAACAACCTCTCGAGAGGCCTCTGCCAAGCTTGCGCAAATATGTTGCTCTCACGCACTGGTAGGCGTCTTCTTTGCTACAGATGATGTCTTTCAGTATCAACAAGACTCTATTGTAATGGCTTTCGAGTATTGTGAAAATGAATTGCCTTAGTGAAATCCTCCCACATCATTACGTTGGAGGCACTTCTCCTGCGTCTGGGCTAATATTTTCCGACGCTCCTTCTTGATGGACTTCTTCACCATTTAGTACAAGGAGTACAGAGTGAAACCCTACCAATGTCGTAGTCCTCCACATGGTCTATCGGCTCTGAAACAAGAGCAGAATCGATCATCTTGGCGTGCGCTACTGTCAAAAATCGCTGTGGATTTGATCGATTATCGTGGCGCAGGCCCTAATCCTTGCGGTAAGCGGCTCCTCAGCGTGCGCAGGAGGGATTGGATGTTAGAGGAGTGGTGAGTGAGTGATCGAAGTGGTCGGTGGGTGCGTTAGGTCTATGTACCGTCTCTTCTTCGGAGGTTGGGAAATATATTGTGGTCTTGGTACCCATGTGATGATGATGATCGTGTTCATCTAGCTTGTTGCTGCCCAACCAGAACTACCTTGATGGCCCCTACTACTGACGCTAAATCGAAGGCGTCTAAGACCGGTGCCGCCCTCACCAAGGGTGTGCAGGTCAAGACCCGCAAGGTCAGGAAGAACACTACCTTCTTCAGGCCTAAGACTCGTCAGACTCCTAAGGCTCCTAAGTAATAACTATGCTGCTAGTATTGGATGCTCATACCATCGATTCATTGATTGTTATTCATCATTTAGGTATCCCCGTTCCGCTACCCCCACCTTGACTAAGATGGACAAGTACCGTATCATCCGCTCCCCTATGACCTCCGAGTGGGCTATGAAGCACATTGAGGACCTCAACACTTTGGTCTTCCTCTGCGACATTCAGGTAATATCAACTTGGGTTTATGAAATGGTTCTTGGCGAATGGGTAATTGTCTTAGGCCACCAAGCAGCAGATCCGTGATGCCGTTGAGTCTCTCTACGACATCAAGTGCAAGAAGGTGAACACCTTGGTGCGTCACGATGGTCTCAAGAAGGCTTACGTCAAGTTGGCTGATGACTTCGATGCCCTTGATGTGGGTAACAGGATCGGTATCATCTAAGCAGCTTTGATGCGGATACCATTGGTTCCAAGGAACTTGGGCGTGGCAGCAAACTCAGCTTGCAAGAGGGATTCCTGGCTTGTGTTGCGTGGTCAGTCATATAATTTCATTGGACTTTGGAGATCATATTCAAGGGATCTGTGATGCGAGGTTTTGATTTCTATGCTCTCTCGAGTGCATTCTAGAGGTATATATATTATTCCGTCATTCACTTGAAAAGTGCCTTTACGCTCGGACAAGTCTCTTCGAGTGAAACAGGTGTCAATATAATCATCACAAAAGCTTGGTAATCATCATAATCGCTCATCACATATCGAGTGGACTTGATTCGGACAACGTCAGCGCTATTCGCGTTGCATCGCTTGGTAGGCGAGCTGAACTTGGAGTATCGCTGTGCGATGTGTATGATGATGCTAGTTGTATCCGAGGAGTGTGCGCTTTCTCAATCGAATAGAACCAGATGCTGGGAACTGACTCGGAATTGGCCGCACCAAACGATACGGAGTCATCCGATTCGAAAAGCTCGCAAGGCGACAAGAAATTAAGCGAAAAGTTATTCCGATACCGGGACTCGAACCCGGGTCGCCTGGGTGAAAGCCAGGTATCCTAACCAGCTAGACTATATCGGAAGTTGCTTTAATTAACCTATGAAAACTCGCGAGCAGTTCGTCCGTCTGAGTTGTCCATTTCGTATAAATAACATTACACATTCCATGTGTCAAATTCTGACTTGCCTGTCGGAATAGACAGAATCGTGTTTTGATTAAATTCCATTCCTCGACAACACAGCGCGGAGAGATTCATACAGAATCAGCAACCACGCCCCAATCCTTGCAAGCTGCGAGGTAGTATACCCAATTTTGTATCCAGAAATTTACCGATCGAAACTTATGTCTAGAATGGTTTCGTCTGCATATCCTTAAACCTCATCACACTCGGACAAACTCAACATGGAACGGTGTTGCGAATGGAAAATAGTCTACTTCCTCAACACTACACCATAACTAGAACTACACAGTTCCGGGTGTGTACACTTTAACTTTCATCGGAAAGTAGGGGGCTGGAAGTTTCCAAGATTCGACGTCGACGAGGGTTGGCGAGGCGGGAAAGTGGGAGGCGTAATATTGCCGCTCGCTCCCATAGCGCCCATCGAGCTCGGGATCCCACCGAAATTTCCCTGAATCACACCGCCAAGCTGGGGGGATGATGACGGGGTAGCACCGCTGACAAGGAGGGACACTTTCGGCTCATACATGTTATGCTGCCACTCACCCTGGGCCCATCAATGCCAAGTGACCACCAGGTCCACCAAGACCAAGAGGATTGGACTCCACGAAATCGTTAGGAGCTGACTTCTTGTCTTCAGCCAACGATTCCGTCCTGCAGTCAGAGATCTCCATCAATGATATAGGTAATCGATAACCTACTTCTTTTCAAGAGACTCGATCCTGTTGGAATAATCCCTCATCAACTGAATCATATACCTACAATAGATGGCTGATTCACTTACATCGGTGGGTGACTTACGGCATAGCAAAGTCCATGTAGCCCTTCTTCCAAGCTAGCTCCATCACTACATCAGGCCTCAGCAGCTCATAACAGGTGTACAGACACGCCGAGAAGCATTCGCGGCCACATGGTACATCTTCGGAGGTTGCGAAGTAGCTAAGAAAGAACGGACTGTCTGCCATAGAAAAATGATGGTAATTGCCTACCGCAAGAGGCCCTCAGCGAGGTCTCGGCTGCCGCTCTCTCTGGCAGACTCCATAGCATCAGTGAACATACCGTCCTTCTTCGAAAGCTCAATGCTTTGCTTAAACCTGTCAATGCCAAGCTATGATAGGGATCAGAATAACTAGGTCGATTCACCTCCCGTTCTGGTTGTACAAAGTAGAGGCGATTCGGCGCATTTGAATGAGGTGATGATTCTCCAACCTGACGACCAAAACGATACGACGAAACTCAACAGTGCGACTTCCTACTTCTGGGCGAGAGCGATCTGGTCGAAGTTATCGTAGTGCTCGATGGAGCTGCGAAGACTGTCCACATCTTCCTCCTCTACCAACAATTCATTCAACGCTTCATTGACCTAAGCAGAACAAAAATAAACTCCTCTCCGAAGAGAGAGAGCCGTACCTGGGGTATGTTGGCATTGGGCTGTACTGCGGCCATGTAGTCCTGTATCAAGGGCAAATGGCCTGCCTTACGGACATGCTGGACCACACGAGCGTGATCCAACTTGGCCTGGATCGCGACCAGCAACTGAGCCACAGAGTGTCACTAAATCAATACTCCGGTAACCACTCGCCTACGTCGCTCAATAGTAGAGGATGCTCGTCGAGGTAGAAGTTGATAGCCCTGTAGTAGATCTCGGAGTTGGAGACCTTACTCATCACTGATTGGAATAAATCCTGCCAAGACACAGTGTCCGACTACAACTCCGCTCAGTCCTGTTACCTGTGACCACGCCGTAGGGCTGTGCTGAATGATGGTGTTAGCAGCTGAGTCGTACTCATCATACGATACGTACAGGTACACAGCCTCTTTCCAAAGGAGTCGCCTCACACGCCCTACAAAGATCAAAAATCACAACCTTAGCGGAGCGAAGCCGCCGACCCACTTATGAGCTTAGGTATGTTGAGTCTAGATGTGTTACTCTTGACAAAGTCCATCAACTTACCCTTCTTATGCTTCGCATATAAAATTCCAAGCTCGGTGAACCTAGCATAGATCCCGATGAAAAACTCCGCCACACGACCAAATCTATCTCCTACATGCCGTAGTGAGCCTCATCAGAATTTGTGATGCCCAGTTCCAGCAAGGCCATCAACTCCTCGAAACGTTGAGCATTCTCGTATACCTGCCGTAACAATGACGTAAGCGGTAGACCACAGGAATACAAACCAACCTCAATAACCTCTTCTAGATGGTCAGGATGGATGATGATATGCAAACCAGCAGTCTGAGCTGAGCGGAAGTCTTCAGCAGCAACACAGGCAAAGCAGATCTCCTTCCAAGTGCGGGGGTTCTTCGCCTGAAAGCCCACATTCCCATCATGACCGCTCGCAAGGGAGTCCTCATCACCTTCTTAGCAGCCTCGATAGCGGCCGAGAAGTCGCCCAAGTTGACATAACAGGACGCCAATTTGGCGTTGTTTGGTATAGACTGGAAAAGCACCTGAGGACATTGTAATTCCACCACTGGATGAGCGACAACCTCCATCTCACCTTAGCCGCTTTATAGAGCCGTTCCCCATAGAGACGATCACCAACACTCTGGACCTATCCACAAGCATCATAGGTTACTACTACACTCTGCTGCAACAAGGCTACATTAGCAGTATTAGTGGCATCGAGGAAGTCCTCAAGCTCGTCCATTCTATCGTCACACTTGGCCAACGAGTAAAGCAACTCCGAATCGATGTAGCTGTCCTTTTGCTTGGTCCGAGCCATACGGAGATACTTGATCAGATCATTATAGCACTCCTCACGCTCTGCTACTGCGATGACCTGCAGGACACCCAGACCATGACCATCATCCACAACCACGTCCTCAGCAATTCCCCTACCTCCATATAGTCAGTAGCATCACCAGCCTTAATATAACTATCGATAGCCTCGGGTATCATAGCACACACGCCATGTCGAAGCTGTGCGGCTCCCAGCTTATACCAAACCTAAACCATGACAATGATAGTCTTCAAGATCCGATACAGGCACCCTCTACCTGAGGCTCGTTGACCCTGCTAGCAAAGTCCTTAGCTCTCTCTAAGCCAGAGCCCTCATCATCGTCCAAGTTGGTGAGTAGTGTATCCATAGCCTCGGCATTCATACCACACTTCTTGTAGATCTCGAAGGCTTCCTCATATCTAAATCCGAAATTATAGTAGCAGATGATGATGAACCGTATAGGGTATTACAGATTATAAGGATCCCCCATAGCGATGAGAGCAATCTCAGGACCATCATAGTTATCAAGACGATGCACATAGTCCATCACACGAGACTTGTCCTGATCGTAGGAGAAGCCTCAATAACCATCAGTTCCACTGTGATGGCCGGCCTACCGCCTTGATCGCTGTGAGGATCAACAGGTTCTGCAGCGTTCTGTTGTCAGAGAAGTCTGAGTTGTGCAGAACTATCTTCTCCAAAAGCTCGATAAGCTCATTAGGTAGATCGGCGTCTATGAATGCCTTCACAGCTGCAGTAACCTATTATGTGAAACACATGCTGCATCGCAGTATGAATAAGCACACCACAAACACACAACGATCGATGGCTAAGCCCAGGTGAGTACTATTCTATACTTGGTAGCTAGCCAATGCACCGCCGCTGCCGCCGCCGCTCACCTCATCAGCATTCTTGCTCTCCGGCAAAGCCGTACTGACGACCTGGTCAATGACATGCCTCCTATGCTGGTTATCATCAGCCAAAGCCTTAGCCCATAACTCGGGACTCTGTCGCTCCACTAGATACCTACACCCCAGCATAACCGATGCAAGATGGTGACACTAGCGATCTCACCTGGCCTGGAGACGGAACAGACCGTTGTTGTTGGTGACACGAAGGAGTTGGTCATCACAAGTCCCCCAAGCTCTGAAGAGACCACCAAGGGCATTCCTCACATTACAGTCGCTGGACAGCATACCTCTTATAGGCAATATAGGCTAGATGAGGGTCACGATCCTCGCAGTAGGCACCTACTACGGCTGAGTCATAGTAAGAGTCGTTCTTGAGGAAAGCCTCGGGGTCCTTATTGGAGTCTATGTAGATCTTCGCAAGAGCATTATGTAGAGATGGCTCCTAAAAATCAAAATCACATAGAAAATCAGGAAGCCAATGACAGATATCATTCAAGTCGCTCACGAGCTTCCTTCCAAAGCGATACTGATAACTTCGTGAGGCATTACACCAATGTGCAAGGTAGCACGGCCCAGGCTCAAGCACGTCACATAGGAGAGAATACACCTACCTGATTGCCCTCAGCCAGACGAGCTTCTAACCAAGGCTGCAGCAGACGTAGCCTGTTACGCTTCTCGACAGTCTCTACAAGGGGTTCCACTGGGCACAGAGACCGGACCTGCTGATGGGTGATAATGACGTGGACGTGCTGGTGGCCACATGCTGGTGCTGCTCACATTGCCGAGGATGCTGTTCTTTATGTAGTCCTCAGAGCAGTCTCTATCGATCAACGTCCCGACTACAGTGGGACAGTTCAATGGATTCACCTTGGTCACGTAAACCTCGATATACCTGATACCAAATTCACTCATGTTCATACCATCCCAATCTCAACATATCTTCCATTACTTCATAAGGTTGTTTGAATAGAGGTAGTCAGTAAGCTCCTCCACATAGCCATGCATATCACAGACATAAATAAGTGGTCTCGGGTCCTGCAGTTTAGCCTCCTTAAGGAAGTCCTTCACCTTCACAGGGTCATAGTATTGACTCTCTCGAACAACCCTCTCAACCTCCTGCATATGACCCAGCTTAGCAGCTGCCTCTATATATCTACAATGAAGCAACGATCCTACCATACCGCCCCGCCATACTGCTTTTCTTACTTGAAGTGGACATCGGGATCTTGACTGCTCGACAGTATCCCGCCCAAGAAAAAGAACATTCCCTCCCAACATTGATACTTCTCGAAAATTGCCACCAGCTTATTAACTTCCAACTGCTCGTGGTACCTAATGCTAGCCCATACCACAACTCGCGCTACTCATATACACCACAGTATAAGAGTTATATATTCAAGACCCGACTTAATGGGAAGAGTTAGAGAGTACTACTTGATGGCCACTTGTACAACAACCTGGGTGTTTTGCTGTCTGTTATAACGCAGCATATCCTCGATCAACTCCAAAGCCACACCCTTTGAATTCTCCGTACCGTTTCCAAGAACCTACAAACGCTCTCAACCTTGCATTTTCTCCGAGCCGGATCTCCCACCTTCCCAATGTAGTTGGTGAGGAACTCAGGAGACATATCGTGTGAATGCAACATGCAACGCCTTATATCGGAGATGTCCGTGTAGTGCTCCAACGCTCGCTGATACATACCAGCCTTCTCACACATCATAGCGATGTGCTGACGATCATAGTGGCTCAACATGTTCATTTGGAATATAGCCTCTGCCACCTGAATAGGAGTCAGGGATAACAAAGTCAACAAAGCCCTCCTCCCACCTGAGGGGCCTGCATAAGGTTCATCTCTAACAGTCTGGTCTGCAGCTGTCCTTGCTCAGGCTTATCATCCTTAAGGTAATCCAAGAGCACTGACGTCGTCTCCTGGAGCTTTCCAAGAGCCATGAATGAGTCCACGACCTACATCATTATACGCCTACCTACACACTGACCTTCGGACTACCTTGTTGATATCAATCAGAGGCGGGTTGTTGTCCAGCAGACCCTTAGCAAACTTCACCGCTCCCTCAGGGTTAGTGGCAACGATCGTCCTCAGCATCCCACCGTAATCAGCATTAGCATAGTTAACTCTCTTCACGTACTGGACCACCTTCTCGTACTCACCAGCAGCCACGAAGCATGCAATGACCTTATCGTGGCATTGGGCTCGGAGGAAGACCGACAGGGCGAGCTTTGTGTCCAGGGGCTTGACCATGTCCCCTAGTTGTTCGGTGCAGGTCAGCTTATCCTCGCTCAACCACTTCTCGATGAACTCCTTACGACCCTGCGCCACAACGGGACCGACGAGCTCCATTGATTCGCTCTCATTCAGCCTAAGAACAACGAATCTCCGCTCGTATTCCGAACAGACGACAATCGAAAGGCCCAGGGATCGATCCCGGCGAACGGTATTTCTCATTACTTATGTCCACTCTCCAAAAGAGCCGAGAAGTACTGGAGTAGGGGTGTGCTTTGGCCGGGAACCGCCGGAGCATTTTTGAACTTCTGAATGGTAGTTGGCGACCTCAAGGACCCAGAAGCATCCTGGGCAGCGATTCGAGCGGCCTGTTTGTAATCACCCGCTGCGAAGTATCTGAGAGCAGACTATATGAACCATGCAGTGCACTCCGAGCCAGTACCGAGTGAACTGTTGTTGGAACATCTCCTGTGCACCAGGTAAACCATAGCGTCTGGCAAGGTTGAAGGCCACGTCCTGTCGATTGGAGAGCTAAATGAGGAAGAACATCGATTTGTGCACACATCAACTCATCGCTTTATATTGATCAAAGTCACTACGACCGAAACGGCGAGAAAAGTTGGTATATAAAAAGGGCAGAAGCATTCATGTACCACTGCACAGATCCACACCCACCTGGGGCATGTTGTTGATGATGTACTGGACGATGGTGTCCACATTAACAGCAAAGTTAATAACGTGTCCACCTCGGTTAACAAACCGGACTCCACCAGTTTCTAAAATCAACAAGAACAGTGAAGGCATGCAAGAGAGTTTTATGCCTACCGTCACTGTAAGTAGCAATGAATATGCTATCCTGAGATACCTTGTTTCTGAACAACAACGCTCCGCTGCCAATATCAAATACAAAGGCATAACCCCCCTTAGTCAGCACATACACCATACCATGCCTGAAAAGCACGA